ATATAGATGTAAAGTCTGCCAATAAAGTTTCAATTGAATTGCTGTGTTTTTTTTGTTTTTTTTTAAGGTCGAGTTTCCCGAGGCACGGATATTTGAAGAAACACTCAACATCCTGATCTATGAGAATAACCGAAGGTCGGGTCCAGGAGGATTGCATCTCTTAGATTCATCTCTGGGGGGCGGTCACTCCGAGGAGGAGGGCGCCACGGGAGGGGACAGGCGAGTGAGACGGATCCACGTAAGGAGGCACATCATGCATGATGAGCGAGGACACGGTCAGCAAACTGTGTATAAGGACTAACTCTGTGAAAATAATCATACGGCATGGGAGAGTGATTTATTTTGCTTTGTTGTTGTTGTTGTTTTGAATGCTTGCAGAATGAAAGAGACGTCCTCGTTTAGAGCAATATAGCTCGGTCTTTTTCTGAAAATGTCTTTAAGCACACTTTGCCGAAATCGGAGGGTTGACTGATTTTTGTGACTCAAGTTAGAGAAAATGTTTACAGGAAAAACAATTTGTACACATGTGAATAGGAAATAACTGACTGGAAACTGTCAAAATCTTATTTCAGACGTTCAAAAGCGTTTCATATGACTGAATGAATCTTAATTTATCTTTAATCTTGAGATCACCTTCTGTTACTGCGGGTACGACTTGTGTGGCAGCTTCCTCTCCAGCTGTAGGAAATACTGTCAGTTTATTCAGGCTGTCAAACATTTGATGTTTCTGTTAAAAACAACAATCCTGCTGAACAGTGACTGACTGAGGTCGGTGAGGCTGAGCCCTGACATGTTGACACTGAAAATAGACCCAAAAAAAGCCATTTTTACTTAGAGGTGTCCACGATAGAGCAGCTCAGTTTTCTTTGTTTAAATTATTACACTTGTTGCTTCAAGTTGTTGTTGTTTTTTAATAATTTATGAATCTAATTTATTGTTTGGTATTTAACTTTTGTATCAGATGTTTGGGTTACGTAATGCTTAAGTGACTTAGTTCTGCAACTCTACAGCACAGATCAGATTTTAATTTATACCTAATAATAAATCTTAAACCTACACATCAGTTCAATGTTTCAAGATTAACTGTGACCATTTTCTTTGTGAGTTATTCTGAGCCATGATCTTTCACTTTTGCTTTGTCTTGTACCAAATTTATTGGCCATACAGTCATTAGAAAGGTAGGATAGACTTAATTTATTTGTTTTTACCTCAGGGAGAGGATAAATTGCATTTTTTTTTCAGTATTCACTGGCAAAATGTTAACCTAAGCACTCTGAATAGCTGGAAGGGGGGAAATAAGCCATTGAATGGGAGGAAAATGTTAGTCAAACCCATACTTGATCCCTAAAGATGCACTAATACAAATTCCATTCTGTTGTTTTGGAAATGTTTTAAATTAACTGCTTATAAAATAAAATGCTTACAAAACCATCTTTAGCCTCTGTTTAATTTGTGTTTGTGTAGTTTAAGAAATCAGCAGTGTGACACAAGTCACAAACAACTGATGTTAATTGCAGGTCAATCATACTCGGGTAGTGTGAGTTGTGATACGCAGAATAGTGTGGAATATCAGAACATTCAAAATACCTTTGTTTCATTGAACACAGAATCTAATCATGCATTTTAATTTACGTTAAGCATACCAGTTTTTTGAAAACTGCTCAAAATTTTTGGATTTCTCTAAACTTTTAAAATATGAAAACAGCAGATTCTTTGTGTTGTTGAAATCCCAATAAATTTGACAAAACCATTGGAGGCTTAATATAGGGAACCACAAACACTTTCAGAGATTACCTGATTTTATTTTGACTGTGTATTTAAACTATATTAAAATAAAAAACTATTGAAAGAACTTGTGCACATCAACCCAACATGTTTGTTTTAAACAATAAGTTTTAGTCTAGCATCTGTGAATCAAATAAAACTCACTCATGTTCATGTTTGCATAATCAGAAATTAGATTTTTTTTTTGACAAAGGAAAATGCATGTTAATTAGATTTAATTTTGAAACGTACAACTTGTGAAGTGTTTCTAAAAAAAAGTTAAAACCTTGTGCCTGTTTTTTTTATTTTAAGAAAAATAAGATGCTACAATTGAGGGTCTTTTTTTAATGAAAAATGNAAATAAGATGCTACAATTGAGGGTCTTTTTTTAATGAAAAATGTTAATAATTAAAAGTTCTGTTAGCTAAAGAACAAACAGTTAAACCTTCCTGAATTTGGTTCAYGTGTTATTAGAGTTGTTGTTTGGAGGCGTGGTCTCTACGCGTCACTTCCGGTCCCTTCGCTCTTCCTGCCGCCAAAAAGAAAACAGCAGTATTAAAAAATGGTGTCAGAAAAAGAGACGGCGGCTATCCGCAGGTTTATAGTTCGGCAACTTCGTGATGAACCAGACTTAAGGTACAAATAAAGCATCTATGTGAATAGTAAACAGGTATTATTGTTCCTTTTAAAAAGAAAACAACGCTTTCTCGCGTGTGTATCTTGTGAGTAAACATCACTGTTAGGTCATTGTTTTAAAAATTTACTGTAACTATTTACTGGGTCATCCTGTACACTGGCTTAAATTTAGCTATTCTTTTAATTTAATAGTAGGTCGTTATCTGTAATTTGAGTTTCCAAACACTGAGATTTCAGTTGTTAAAAGACAGGCACCTATACTAGCAGGTGTCGGTGTTTACACTTTCTTTACCAATCTGTCACTATTATAAGTTGCTAAACTAGCTAAATATATATATTGATATTCAAAATAAAACAAGAGGGATCGTATCTATGTACAAATAAAGGTCCCCCCCCCCTCAACTTTGTAAAACCCACAGCAAATTGTTGTGCAGTCTGTATAATCAAAATATATTGTTTAAAAAAATGGACTTTTATTTTGAAGCTGACAACATTTCATTTCCCATTCAAAAATGTCTGCAGTGTGTGGAGCTCCAAGCTTTACAGAACTGCTCAAGAGGCATTTTGTGAACATTCAGGTTAGACTGGAGCTACTCTCCTCATAAAGAAGAATCACTTTTTACTTGACTCCTGAGAGAGAAGTTCAGGGACAAATCTTACAGATGTGACCTCCAGTGTCACTGGCCATTCTCTACATGGAGGAAATGGAAAAAGCGAAACGACACCAAGCCACTGGTTCAGATATTTGAATGACACTTTGGTCAAAATYCATGAAAAAGAAGGATGAAACKCTWTGGCAACCTCTCRAAGAGGGAAAAGCCGAAGGAAGAAGATGCATTTATTTTCTGAAGATACTTTTCATTGTGTCCCAAAATGTGATTGTGAATTGCTCCTTSATGCTGAATGTTTTCATTTTGTTTTGTTTCAGCACCTTGACGATTGCAGTGTTAAGAGAGAGATATATGGCCCATGTGAAATGTGATTTAAGTTCTGAAGCAAAAAAACTCATMAAAGATGTGGTGAAAGAAGAAGTTATAAAAATAAAGGTACTTAAAACCTTTAATAGTTGTTAAAATCTTTATTATTAATAAATTTCAGGAGTGAATACTCTCCAGCTTGGGGAGAAATTTTGTTTGTTTGCTCAGGAAGCAAAAAGYAACTTTCTACTTTTCCCTCTGTGAACAAGTAAAACATTGTTTTAAARAYRAATAAATTATTTTATAGGTATTCTAAAAAAGTGATGTTTTTCGCTTTGATGCTAAATTCTCTGTGTTGTWCTCATTGCAATTGGTATTTTCTAGAAAAATAAGAAAAGTGAAAGTGAGTCTGAGATCACTACGCCCCCAAACAAAAAGAAAAGAGCGAGGGAGCAGAAAGAGGTGGGAAGTGATGAAGAAAAACGACCTACAGCAAAAAAATCACGAGCTTATCTTTCAAACTCATCATCAGGTAAATTCTARTTATTATTTTTTAATGTTCTTCAATGTCTCCAGTTTATTAATAGGCAGGTTTTATGTCGATCTAAAATGCTGTGCACCAACGTTAACACTTCAGCTACTGATGCAAGAAGGGATGATTGTTTTTTTTTTTAATTATTTCATTCAGATCATTTCTTGCTCAAATTGTCTGAAAACTAAACACATTTCTCATCATAAAATCACAGAAATATATAATCTTCAAATCGTAGCTCTTTCTAAAACATGTTTTTGCCATGGGATTTGTTTCAGATTCGGAGGATGATGGGGACTGCAAACCAAGAAGTTCGAACAAAAGAAAACCAAAACCCAATGATGCAAAACAAGAGCTAGAGAAAAAACCGACCCCACAGAAAGCTGGAGGTGCGAAGGAGGAGAACACGAGCGATGACTCCTCAGACGAARAGGCGAACGGATCAGAAAAAAGCAGCACCAAGAGTGACAGTCCAGAGAAAACTGTGAAAGAGGAAGCAAACGATTCAAAGGACGAAGAGMCGAGAAAAATCAGCACAAGTGTCGTGAAGAAAACCGCAGAGAGTGATCAGCAGAGCGATTCAGAGAAGTCCGAAAAAAGCGACAAGMTCAACGACAGTGAGTCCTCGGACAGTGAAAAAGGTGATTGTGTAAACTATTCCTATAGGTGCACAGATTATTGTGTCTGAACGGATTTCTTAATGTATATTCTGCTCCTGTGTCGCACAGAAGAAAATGCCTCGGCAGAAAAGAAAAACGACTCCAGCTCAGATTCATCATCCCTGCCTTCTTTGGAGGAAGACAATAAGAGTGCGACAGAAGGTGCAAGAGAGGACAAGAAGAAAAAGAAAAGGATGAAGAAAGAACCGAGCGCTCGAGGCCAAAAGGTGAGTTGAATGTTAGTGAGCTGGATCTGAATCAAAACAGTGTTGGAGCATTAATGGGATTACTGGAACATTTAATGTTGCATCTCCTCTTTATAACTTTTATTTTGTTTACTTCATCCYGCAGGAAGATGACAAAGCAGTCGTACGGCTCAAACGTTACATCGCTCTCTGCGGGGTGAGGARGAACTACAAGAAGCTGCTCGATGGCTGCCACTCCACTCGCTCCAGAGTGGCCGTTTTAAAAAGGGAACTCGAAGGTCTCGGTGTCCACGGTCTGTGGAAAACACATTCATCCTGTTACAAACCATACARCTCAACTATAAGAAAAACTTAATTCTGTTCGGATGCTGTTGTAATTTTCCAKGTTTCCTGTTGACTTATTTTACTGACACTCGTTTTAAGTGAAAAGTTTATTTTATTAGCTTTTTTATAGCAACAAACTTAACTTGAACAGCTCAACACTTCGAGTTATGATATGACTGTTTTCTTTTTACTTAGGTCAACCATCTATTGAGAAATGTAAAAAAATCAGAGTGAAGAGAGAACAAGCCCAGGAGGTTGCTGAGCTTGACGTTGGCAACATTATCACCACAGAAGGTATCTGGTTGTCTCTGTTTTGGTTTTTGTGGGTTTTAAAGCAGTGGTTCCCAACCTGGGGAGTGCCAGAGAGCACATCTCTTTCAGCTTGGCTTGAAAACTGGGAACCACTGGTTTAAATGMGAGTGTTGATCAGTTTTCTTTTTTAACTGAATTTGGAATAACTTTACTACCAACGTACCATGGTTTATGGTTATCTTTTGTACGCTTATCAGACACAACCATGAAGTCATAGATACTTGTATTGTTGCAGTGCAATTTTCCTTGTATACTTAATCAGTGTTTGYAATTTTATGATTATGTTCCTCACTCTACATCAAATTCTAGATATCAAAACAATTGTAGGATGTGGATTTTATATATATAAAACCTGGAAAAGTAAAGAAATGCAATCAATCTTTCCATTGTTTCATCACTATCATTTTAATGCCATTGACTCATAAAAATGTTCTCTTGTGATAAGCGTTTGATGTGGTTATCTTTCAGGACGTCCTAAACGCAGAGGAAACTCAGCGAGGCAGGAGCTGGTCCCGCCTTCTTCTACTTATCAGCGCACTCTGAACTCTGGCTCTGAGAGCGATCAGGAAAACAACACAGATGCAGGGCGCCGAAAAATGTCCGAATGGACCAACCTGCGGGGGATTATCAGTGATGATGCAGACAGTGACTAATAATGACAGTTTTTTTCTTTTCTTTTTTCTTTTGTGTTTAGTGTTGACTTATTTGCTTTGTGTTTGCTGTTTAACTACAAACTGTGCAAAGTATTTGTAAACAAATATAAAAGTTATTAAAGTTCTTTGAATAAACGTTTAATGTTTGAATTAACAGAAAAATAATGCTTTTTGTGGTTTAAAAATGTATTGAATTACATGTAGATTTTTATACTATGATTGTTGATTACCTGTTTTGATAAGAAACAATAAAAATACATTTTACACCACAATTTGGAATTGTTATATTTAGCAGAAATCTCGGCATCGTGTAACCGGAACGAAGGTTATCRTGGTTTAGCGACACGGACTGTTTTACTGTTGGACTTGTTCTACAGGGTAATGTGTCCGCCTGCAGTCCTTCAGGTCAGGATTTAACTTATCGGCACAGTTTTATATTTCTTTTTACGTTTGGAATCCTAATGTTTGACAAAAATACTAATTTCAAAATAAATAAATTTATGGAAATATTTTTCAGCAAAGAAACATTACCGAAATGTCTCGTTTATGTTTTTCACGTTGTTTCATCACAATGCTAACTCATTCTCTAAATTAAATATAAAACGGGAATCAGAGCATTTTAATTCAGTTATCCAAACTAGTTTTTTTTAAAACGTAGTGTGATGGACTACAATCAATAAAAATATCACGGAAATATTACTGAAGGTAAGATAATCATATTAGTCCCTCAGGTGGGAYTAAAATATAAAATAAATAATTAAATCAAACAGAAATGCATCAGTTAATATAGCGCTCTCCTTTATTGAAGCTACACCAACCATTCTACGTTTCAGATGAATGTGTGTCCCATAAAGTTTAGAATAACACACTGACATCTCCTGCAGGGATGGATGAAGACACACCAGATGAAGTCCTCACAGACATAAGGACCAGGAAGCTCGGAGCCTGGGGTATTGCTCAGATCGCTGCTGGCACTGGGCTCGGTGTATATTTCATGTGGGTGGGAATCCTTCAACCGGGCTTCCGAAAGGTCCCACTGAGGCTGCAGGTGTGCATCTGAGGCCTTTGAATAGAAAAGGTTGTAATGTCAACATCACTCCTTTGTTCTTTAGCTCTGTGAAATGTCTTCCAGGTCCCYTACATTCCTGCCAGCAAAGCTCAGGTGCAAAATGTGATGACCCTCCTGAGAGGACGGAAAGGGGGTCTGGTGGATTTGGGATCTGGGGATGGTCGAATTGTAAGTGGAGTTTATGAACGAGATACTTGGAGTGTTTTTCTTGCAAATTAGAAGGACTGTTTTTGTTTATCGATTCTAACTTCTAAGGTCTTGGAAGCCCATCATCATGGTTTTAGTCCAGCTGTTGGTTATGAGCTCAACCCCTGGCTTGTGCACCTAGCTCGCTTTTATGCCTGGAGAGCAGGTCACCATGGCAAGGTTTCATATCGACGAGAAGATCTCTGGAAGGTTTGGCATGATTTATGGATTTAGTATTACTACTTTCCACTAGTTATACAACTTATTAGGTGTGCTTTATTTTAAAAATGCAACAGTTTGAAGTAWAATTGGGCTCATTTTCTGTAAACAAAAATAGACAAAAAAAAAAGCCAAAATCATACCACTTTTCTCAAATCTAAACTGATAACAAAATTAGCAACATTTGGTAATAAACTGACCCAGCAAGGACACTGAGATTTTCACTAGTACCACTTGATCTTTGTCTCTGTATTTGTGTCAGCAACACAGACCTTTTCCTTTTAAGCTTAAATAGACAGAAATTAAAAAAAACATTTGCAACACTAACTGTATGAAAAACATACAACTGACAATATCAAAAAAGTGAAATTAAAAAACATAAAAAATGTAAAAACAGCAGTGCTATACTAAGACATAAAAGTTATAAAACATGACCAGCAGTCTAAGTACGTAAAATTTATTTGTAAAGCTATTTAAT